ACTTAAAAGAACACTTAAGCCTCAGTCATTCGGGTGCTGGACAACTGTGCTATTGACAATGTACTGCAGAAAACAGTCCAGTGCAATTCTTAAGAGCCCCCTCTGGCAACCAGATTTTACCTCCTTCTTTGTTTATCCAAAGTGTATCTCCGCCTGTCTGAGAACATTATAAGTTAAAAAGTTTGAGGAATAGAAACAGATAATTCCAGAGTTTGCTTTTGCTTTTTTTTTTTTTTACTTGTTAAATTATCCTTTATCGAAATATTTTCCTCTGTAGTTCTCAAGTAGCTGAGCATTCCACCTCACCATTGTTGGTGTCACCTATGATGTTACAAGGGTGGCCGCCATCAACATTGCAGCCCACAGACTGAGCAGTCACAGTTCTTTCATGTTTCCAGAGAGCTCTCTGGCTATACAGATCAGTGGTGCATCTGTCAGGCAACGTTGACAACCTCATCAAGAGTGAGGTTTCCACTGAGCTTAATGGGCCTTTGCTTCTCTCTGTCTCTGTCTCTGGCTGGGTCCTGGAGGGCTTTGACGATGGGGCAGAGGCAGAAGATACCACTCAGTCTGGGCCTGTCTGCTCTGAATGATCAGTTTCACTGTACGCCTCAGACCCTTCCGGTCACCTGTTGCCCTGGGATGTCATCACCAACATTTTTTGAAGAAAGACCAAGGGGTCTGATCTTGGGGGGAGGGCAGACATGGCCCTGAATTCCTGCTCTTGCACCTCAGGTATACGACTTTGATCTCATTGGAGTGGAACTTAGGTGACACGCTGAAGGCCACAGGTCCCAGAGGAACCCAGATGCAGGACAACCAAGAAAGTTGCACCTTGTCCTCCTCTGAACCCAAAGCTGAAAGAGCTGCCTCCAGCCATCTTTAACTGTCATTGCATCACTGAAAAGTTCTGACTTTATGCCAGCTGATTTTATTATTTATTATTATTCAGAATGCTTATATGCATTCTGAAAAAACACACTTAGCAAAATACATTTTTTCACAGTGAAGAGCTTTTTATTTATTTTGAGGCTCAACCAAAATATAGTTCTGGTCGGTTGAGAGACAACTTAGGTGATTTTCAATCATGCACTCCCACAGGTCTATTGAGTCACAGATTCTTTAACTCGTATCTTTTAAAGATATAATTCTAATGTAGAAAAAAGAGCATGGGACTTGGAGATGGACAGAGCTGGTCTGGAACACCACCTCCAGACTTACTAGCTCTGTGATCTTAGGCAAGAGAATTACGTTTGCCAACCCTTTATTACCTCACCTGCACAATGTAGTTAAAAATTTCCACTTAACATGCTGTTTTGAAGATTAAATGATCTCCACAAATATTTATGGATCACCTCCCATGTGCCTGGCTCTTGTCTCAGTGTTACGAACACCACAGTGAACAAAACCTATGCTTACCATTCTTGGGTAGCTGACGGTCTTGAATGGAGTTGAATATTTCCTCTCTGATTCTTAAGGCATTGAAGCAGTGTTGCCTGGGAGTGGGTTAGAACTGGATTTCTTGTACCTGTAGTTCTCAAATAATTACCCCTCTTGCTGCTACAGATTTTGAATTATAAACGAGCTGCTAAACATTAAAGATTCAGCAGGACCATTCATAGAGTTTTGCCATTTTTCTGATTCATAGAACTTTAGGTACCTACAGGGAAACATTTATATTTACTATAAATATTTTGTACTATATTTACTTTTGTTAGTATAGGATATTTATCAGTAAACATAATTTGCATTATAAATTTTTTGAGAGGGAGATATACATTCTTTAGTGCCTAAATAGTCTGAATGATAAGCTGTTAAGTTACTCCAATATAGAAAAAAATCTTACCCTGAGATTTACCACTGGCCAAACTGGCACAGACACAGGTAGCCAATAAAAGATCTTTTGTCAATTGGTTATGTCACAGATGGAACAACTAGCTCCTTTTTAGTGGTGATAATGCCAACGATGAGGTAATTAGAAAGGTCTTCATTTCTCAAGATTTTCTGCCTGGCATCATTATTCTAACCCTCCCAGGTATGACATCTGATACTCAGTAACAAGGCTAGGTAAAATAATGATAACTGCATAACTAAAAATAGGTTCATTATTTGAACTTATGTAACTTTACAGAAAAATGCATGATTTTCTGCTCAGTTTGGAGCAATGAATGAAGAGGTACAGTTTAGACGTATTTAAATAATAACAAGTCAAAAATAATACCATCATCATTCTATAACCCACAGAGACCATCAAAGTCAGCATTATCTTTAGTGTAAACATTTGATTTGCATGGATTTTTCTACTATGTGAGATTTGATAAGACTTGGCCTTATCGCTAGCTATATATTTGGATTTTACATGAACATACTATTGTAACACCGTTGACAGCTAAAATTTTTGGTAAAATTCCAGGCCAATCTAATCTAGGTGACTAGATTATAATGAAACAAAACAATAAAATAGATCTTTAAAATACATACTGTCTCTGTATTAATACACATATACATTTCTCATGGTTCCCTTCAGAGCTAATTATACAGTTTCAATACAATAATAGAGAAGCAAAGTATAAAGATATATAAAGCTATCTAACTGTGGAATCACCCACCTGACATTCTGGGAATACTGTACTCTAATTACCGATATATTGGCAATCAGAACAGTTATCTGGAGGAGAATGTTTAAGGCAAAAAAAAACCTTCCACTGTCTTAATATTTCTTGCAAAATCATGTCTTTCTATTTTTCTGTAAATATAAACAATAAGTTGCTCCAAAGATGTTCACCTTGATCTCCCACCAAGTCTTTTCCTGTCAAGTCCTACCTGCCACCTGGTTCCATTTTGCTACAATACTTATTAGAGTTGGAAAATCATAACATTCAATTTCCTGCCTTTTCCTTGAATGCACGTGCAAACAATACATCAAGAGCAGAACAAAGATTCTTTCATAGCCATTAAGGAGGTACTAAATAGAATTCAAACTTGCTGATGGTTCACTTCTCAGTTCTGCCATCTCCTTACTCTTGGGGAACTCTCCAATGTTGGAAGGTAAATCTACATCCTGACCCAGTTTGACCTAATAAGTTCTTTGTCCCTTCTATCTGTCCACCAAATTTCAATACCAAAAGTACCGTATTTGCCGGCGTATAAGACGACTGGGCGTATAAGACGACCCCCTAACATTTCCACTCAAAATACAGAGTTTGTTATATACTCTCCGTA